TTTGTCCTGGAACTCACTGCATCAACCAACAAGCCTTGGGATATACCTGCTTCTGCTGCCTGGGTGTGGAAATTAAAGGGATATAACAACGTGCCTGGCCTACACAACTTCATTTAAGAGCAAACACTACATATTAGTTTTCAGATTCCAAGGACATAGAGAAGGTCCAATAAGCACTATGTTCTTCAATATGTTATTACATCAAATAAAGGAAAATAATTCTGGCACTAAAACACTATAGTTAGAAAACATGTAAAGAGATTTCTCACAAAGAGAAATCTAAACAAATAATTTGAAAGTGTTTTCTTAAACACTGAAGCTGTGAGAGTCACTGAATAAATCAATGTTATTGTTTTCCACAATTAATGGTACTTTATAAAATAATTTCATCGAGAACAGGACCCTAAATATCTTGTGTGGTCTGAGAGTAAAGATACTCCGATATTGCTATAGCTCGGCCTGGGCAGAAAAATGTGTCAGTTGTATTTCACTTTTCATATGAAGACAGCTTTTCTTCCCCAGATAGAATTAACTTTCTTTATGTATATCCTGTTAACTAGATTACGGGGGCTTTCAGGTGAGAGGCATGCAAACAGTTTTGTACATAGTATGTAGTCAACAAAGACTCACTCCAGAAACACTAAGAGGATTTGAAACTGATAACGTTTTGTTCATGAGGACGAGCATGGGCATCACATGCACTGTACTAGTGTGGATAACCTTGGGTGTCTGACCCCAGCATTCCCATTGTTTGAGAAATGGTCTGGTTATTATTCGCTGCCACTCAGGTAAGAATCTCAGGCTCATGAGGTTCCAGGGCTTCTATTGTCTCCACGTCCCACATCACACAGGGGAAACTACAAACATAAACTACCACGGAGGGCAGCTTTTCAATAGTTCTTGGGATATGAACACAGGTCCTCACAATTTTGCAATAAGTCTTTTACTCATTGATCCTTGGTCCTGGCCCCTGAAAATGATAGATTTTGGTGTTAATGTTTTCAACCTGAGCTAAAAGGCTTGGTTTTGCAATATCAACTTTGTATTAAACTTATACAAATACACTGTAAATATAACTTGGGTAAGGATAGCTTGGGACAACACCAAAGGGCTGGCAAGATAGGAACTCAGTGGTAGAACATACTTATCTCACAAAACCATATCACAAATGCAAAGTTGGAACAATCATCGCTTATGAAATAGATGTTGTAAAGTGCCTTACTTGGTTCTAGTGGCGGGCAGTATTTACGGAGTCATGAGTGCAGTACAGTACCAGAGACTGGGATTAAGTTCCTTAAGCAAAGTTAGTATGAAAACTGAATTCCAAGACCGTAGTCTCATTAGCTGAGTCTCCTACTGATAGATAAAAACCATCCTTGCTGAACACACTTTGCATAGCTTCAGAGAGCAACATGACAGAGAAGGAAGAAATCTTGGAGACAAATGGATTTCAATGGGGGATCAAAATTAAAAGTGAGTCTAGAGATATCCAGAAACATCATCGGAAACTAAAATAATTGGTTCCAGGCTGGAGTTCACTTGGTGTTTGAGACTGTGCCTAGGGAACGCTCACATTTAATTTACAAGGAGAATAATTTCTGAAGAGGAGCCATGGGAGTCTGTGACTTAGAAATCATAAATCCTACTAGGGCAACTGCTAAACTTAGGGATGAAGGTGCTTCAAATGAATGATTTAGCTTTTGCCTGTACATCACTCAGAGTGGGCTTTCTAGGTAGAAACCCACCAAGGTTGTCTGCAGGCTGCTTTCTTAATCTTATGACCCAGTATCACTAAGCATTCCAGAAGGATGGGGGCCAAGAAGGAACTGTTGGTTTGGCTCAAAGTGGCCTCTCATTTCCCCGAGGTCACTGGTTTCATTGGTACATTTTGATCCTCCCCATGGGGAGAAGTAACAGGAGGTTCGGGAAAGAGGTAAAAGATACTGTCGACTTAAACTTGGAAGGATGTTTGAACATAAAAATAAAACTGTGGGGCTAGAAAGGTAGCCTATTCAGTAAAGTGTTTGCACTTTAGCCCTGAAGTACCCGACTTCAACCCCCAGGATTCACGTAAGAAAAGCCTTATATGGTGATGTGTTATCTCAGAGCAAGGTAGAGACAAGCTGATTCCTGGCCAGCCAGCCTATTCTACTTGGCATGTTATAGGCCAGTAAGAGATCTTGCTCACCTTGATCCCTATGCCCAGAAGAGACAGGACGGTGAGATGGCTCAGTAGGGAACAGTGCCTAATCTCAAGCCTGAGAATCTGAGGTTGACCCCTGGATACCACCCACATGGTGGAAGTAGAGAGCTGACTCCTGAAGCTGTCCCCTGACCTCCATATACAAGCAATTGTGGATTGAGCATGCCCTCCCCTCCCCTCAATAAATATACCAAATATTAAAAAAGAAAAGATGGACAATTCCTGAGGAATGACACCCAAGGTTGTCCTCTGGCCTCCATATGCACTTGAACGTAAAGGCATGAGGCCTCATGCAATATACCTACATGAACTGAACATGCATGTACACACACACACACACACACACACACACACACACACACACACACACTTCCAGGATCTAATCATCCCATCCATCCTAACAAACAAAATATTCACATTTGTGAGAAAACAAAACAAAACAAAACTCTATTTCTCCTTTCTGCATGGCCTGGTCCAAAGGCACTATCAGTGGATTACAGCTATTCTGTGTATTAGGATCTCCAGGGAGCCTTAAAAAAATTAGCTGACTCTGGGTGCTCCCCTAGAGACTCTGGTTTAATTAGTCTGGGCTGGCAACATACTTCTCAAAGCTGCCAAGTTATTAAGTACAGCAAGAGTTGAGAACTAACTACTGTGGTAGATAGGGAAAGGAGATATGGAGCTGGGAGGAGTTCAATAAGTCACCTCCAGAACTAGTGTTCCATAAAGTGTGCCACACCCACAGGTGGGTCCTTAGTAGCATTTGATTTGGTAACACATGGGTAACATTTTTATGCATATGTTTACACACACACACACACATACACAGATATATATATCCCATGTATGTATATAGATACAAGTTAATTGTATAACTATATATGAATAAATATTAGAAATGTATAAGCAACATATCAAATTTGAGATGAAATGTATACTGCTGTTGAGGATGAGTCTAAGTTCTAGCCAAAGGTTAGGCAGCGAGTCTACCACGGAAGGCAGCTTTTCAAGAGTTCTTGGGATTTGAACACAGGTCCTCACAATTTTTGCAAGAAGTCCTTTACTCACATTGATCCTTTGTCCTGGCCCCTGAAAATGATAGATTTTGGTGTTAATGTTTTCAGCCCGAGATAAAAGGCTTGGTTTAGAAATATCAACCTTTTACTAAACTTATACAAATATATGGTAAAGATACCTTGGGTGAGGATAGCTTGGGACAAAGGGCTGGCAAGTAAGGAACTCAGTGGTAGAATGTACCTATCTCAAAAAAAGCATATCATGAATGGGAGTCTATGATGGATGTATAGACCTGCTGGAAATTTCAGGGTAAGTAGGAAGTAGGTGCAGACGTGGGAGGAACTCATGAAAGAGGAAGCAAGCATGTGGAACCTGAACATGGCAGGAAAGGAGCCCAGGATCTGTGAAATCTTCCTCTACAAAGCTTGCTGTCCTAAAGGCTGTGTTCCTCCATAGCTAGGAGGCTGGTCCAATGCTACCTCCTCCCTGTTCCTCTCATATGGATGCCTGCAACTCATCGCAGTCTCATTCCTATGCCACTGAACTGGGCTCAAACCCGAACCCACACCAAGGTCTTCTAGATTCACAGCCTATCTTACCATAGCTGCCACAGCCTATGCCTTAGGCTCTTGGGTCTCTGCTTTCCGATTCAAATCGGAGCTAAACGTAAGGGGGCTTGGCTACCAAAGCATAGTGGGGCAGAAAACCAAGGCTCACAAGGTTTTCAGCTCCATGGCACAAAAGGGAAGCCAGAGCGACCCAGATCCAGGTTATGCAAACTCACAGGAGAGGATGAGTGACATGAAAACCCTAAACTGACCAAACAAATCCTGCCTGCAGGAAAGGCCCTGCCTTGCTAACATTTCTTTCTATTTGACATTCTCCGGGCATGATGCAACCTCAGTTGCCCAATTTATATTTACACATCCCCCCCCCCCCAGGAGCTTCAAAAGCTCCCAACTCCACAGCATTCCTTTCCTAAGTTCAAGTGTCTAGTTCAACAAGATTGCAGGGCAGGCCTGTGCCATCAACTTTACCAGGGTCAAGCAAAGTGTTTTGAGAAGGTTTGGCATTCTCGGGTAAACTGAAAAAGGACAAGGGGCAAAGGCAAGAGTTGTAGCTGGCAGCTCCACGCCTTGCACTTCCCCCCAGGGCTCTCACAACCACTTGATTACCCACTGCCAACTGCACCTGCAATCTCACCTTCCTCCCTGCCCTGTTCTCCCCCGATCCAAAGGGCACCGAAGGGTGAACAGGGTGAAAACCAAACCCAAGCTTCAGCCTCCTCCTGCTCCTCCTTTCCCTGGCGCCTCCCGCCCAGGCTTTCCACATCCTACCAGCTTCCTGGCCACCCAGTCATGGGTACACCTTTGCACCACCCAACAAAATGGCAGGTTAGCGACGGGAGGGGCCGAGGGCGCTAGGTCCTCCTCTAGCCAAGCGTGGTGGACCCTGCCCAAAGCCGAGACCCCGAGACTCCTCCAAGCGCTAACACCCATCTCCTAGTCAAGTCCCTAATCTTGGGCCCTTCACCTGCTTGCTCTCTAGAGTACATTTCCATTCCAGGCCGGCGAGCAGGTGTCCGCGTTAACAGGTGCCAAGCAAGAGGCCCAGGCACAGCGTGGAGAGGACCCCGAGACCGTCCGCAGGAAAAAGCCACTTCTAGAGAAAGGAGGCTGAAGGAGGTCGCCGGGGGACCTGACCCGACTCGGGGCAAGGATGCTGCCTGTCCCTGCTCCCCGGATTCAATCGTCGCCTACGCTACCGCTACCACACTTACAATCTCCAGGCAGACGAAAGCTCCCGAGTAGGTCCGCAGGATGTCGGGGCCAGCGGGCAGGGTGATTCGGGGCGCCGGGAAGGACACAGCGGGGTTCGGGGGCGGCGGGACTGCCGCTCCGCCGGCCGACATGCTGCCGCTGCTACGTCTCCGCGCACAGCCGCCACCGCCTCCCGCGTCCCGCCTCCACCTCCGGGGCTTGGCCGCCGCCGCCACCGCCGATCCGGTCCGCGGGGTCCGGGCGTGCGGCGCGCCGAGAGGGCGTGGCCAAGGGCACTCGGCGGACAGAGCCCCGCCCCGTCACGTGGGCACAGGTGAGCGCGTCCCTGCCCTGGCGCCAGCTCGCCAGGGTCACCGTACAGGTGTGGTGCGCTCCCATTGCAGCGCCACCTCCACAGCTCTCCCAGGCTCTTCAGATCACCTGCTGCCCCTGCGCTAGCTGTCAACCGGTCCCATCCTCCCATCCCACTCCACTCTCACCCGGTCCTCACCCACTCTCTCTGGTTGGGCAGGAAGACAGAGACGGTGACTCAGAAGGCAAACTCCAGTTGCCAGGCACACCTGGAAAGCAGGGTGCTTGTTTAAAGGGGACTCTAATGGGATTTTAAACATGCCATCAGGGTCATGGGGCACGTTGGAGTCGATGGCTGGCCGTGGGTCCCCGGAAAACAAACAACAAAGAAACAAACAAACAAGCAAACAAAGAGTTCTACTACTCTGTTCTGGGAAATCCTTATGAGGATATCCGCCAATGATGCTCAGAAAAGTTCAGTGCCCAGGAAGCGCTCCGTAAACTGTAGCTTATAGGACAGCAGCTACTTTTTCTATTTTGAGATCTATATCATTTTCCGTCTACACACGATGTTACCCTCAACACGTTTTCACACAGACCCTTTTCATTTAATCCTCACCCATGTACTCTTTGCCTTTTAACACTCAGCAGATTAAAAAACAAAAACAGAAACAAACAAAACACAGGATGCGTCCCCTGCCTCAGTTTACCTCCGTGTATCCCCATTCTAGTCTCAGTGTTTCAGTGTCCACGTCCTGTAAGTGGAACAAAGGGATATTTCTCAAAGATCATCTGAAGATAAGTTAAATCACACATGTAGATCAAGTGGAAAAAACAATAGCTAATCCAGGCAAGGCAGCACATGCCTGGAATAGCAGCATTTTACAAGATGAGGCCAGAGGGTTGCCCTGAGTTTGAAGGCAGAAAAGCTGCAAATTCAGTAATAGGCCATCTATATCTAGGGATACCTAGGAAGACCCTATCAGGCAACAAGAACATGCATACTAGATGTGTGCCTATTATAGACATATGTGTACACACACACACACATACACACACACACACACACACACACACACAGTCTCCAAATTGAGTCTGCGCATCACTTCCTGCAAGGACTGTCAGCAGGTTTTAACCTATGTCTTTATTGTTTTAATGAGCGAAACTCATAGGTGTGGTGGCGGCGGCACCAGAGTGAAAGCCACAAAGCTAGGTGTGGATGAAACCTTTCATTTGTACCTCCTGTCACCCACACCTGTTAGTCACTGCTTCCTGGCATTTTGTGTGTGCTGTTTGTCTCACAGGAAACCTCACGTTTTCTGACCAATGACCTTTTCTGTACCCAGACTTTGATTGGCAAGACATTTCTGTTTCCTCCTAGTAAGCACTTAGAGGATGTTCAAATGTGAGGCCACTTCAGAGAATTCCCTATGGAGACGCTCCTTAACTACATACAAAGTGTCCAAAGTATCATGGTGAGGGAACTTGAAATGACCTTGAAGTTTCCAGACCCATTCATGATTTAAAGCCTCAAATGTGTTTATTTTTAAAGTTGTTAATGAAGAGACAGCTGGCGACTACATTCTTTCCAGCCCATATCTTGCCTTACTGTCTCCCCACCCCCATGCCTACTTTGGTTTCCAGTATGGTGAGGAGAATAAAAGAGGCCTCTCTTCTACTATAGTATATCTGCTCCAAAATGAATGCTTTTCTGGAACTGGCTCCTATCTTGTGATTGTTATCTATTCCAGTTTCCTCTTCATGATGACAATACTTCTAGCATCTCCCCCACCCCCCAACTCCCAGTTCTTTCTCCATAAAATTGACCCAATTTCTTAAGTGTCACCTTTTTCATCTATTTCTGTGACACTCCCCCCTTCCCAGCGTATCTTACTATGTGATGGGAGATGTAAATAAGTTCCTCTTATTGGTTAATGAATAAAGCACTGTTGGCCAATAGGAAAGCAAGATAGGTGGGACTAGGAGACTAGGAGGAGAGAGGAAGTAGTAGGGAGGAGTTTCAAGATGGAGGACTACAGGGTAGAATGCCAGTCTCTCTCTCTGGTAAGATAAGACCACATAGAAGTACTTAGATTAATAGAAATGGGTTAATATTTAAGACAGAGCTAGCCAATAAGAAACTAGTAACAGGCCAACAGAATTATATCAATTACACTGTCTCTGTGTGTTATTTGGGGCTGGCATGGTGGTGGGACCAGACCAGCAGGAAAAACCTACTTGTAACATCTGCTTGAAGATTTTCTCTGAAACTCTCTTATTGGACTGTTAATGTTTATTTTTTCCTTTAATCATTTGTTGTATGTCCTGGGAATTGAATCTGAGGCCTTGCACACACTAGGCACACACGTACATATGTACACATATGGTACTCAATATATATTCTAACATCAAACACTAGGCTGTCTCTGTATTCAGGAAATAATAAGATACACTAGCAAACACCACAGCTCAGAGAGCCAATGAACTTCATTACAGGGTGGCTTTAAAATTTTACTCCTTAATTCCAATTTGCTTGCAATTTTTCTTTCTTAGCAAATAAAGTCTCTAGAGTAATAGTGATCAGCTATTAAGAACCTAAAATGCTCAAGCAATAGTATGATAAAATGTGATAAATTAGTATAGAGGGAAATTAAAAATTAAAATTCAGACATCAAAATTCTTAAAGTAAAATGATCAGTGAGAAAGTATTTTTCCATTTCTTCCCTACTTTATAATTCATAATAACCACTTCAACTGTCAATAATTATTTTTCTTTTCTGCATATTCTTTAAAAAATATAAAAATCAAGCACATAATAATTTCTTCCAAATATCTAACATTGTTTAAGGATTGAATCACTAATGAGGCTAGAGCAGACTAGACACTTAGTAGTTTATTCCCCACAAGTTTGATTAAGGAAAATTACCACTCACTTTTCATGAAATTGCCACCTATTAATAATAAGACTTCCTTGAAAATAGAACTTATTTATTTATTTTATAACCAAGTCCATTTAAATGAAAACAAACATTTATAGACAATATTTGGGAGTTTGAGCGTCATTCTTTTCAAACTACCTCCTGCTGGTAAGGGGCGCTGTCATGGGGAATTCTACGAAGATGCGGAAATCCTGGCTGTAGTCTGCAAGGCTGCTTTGTCCAGCTGTTTTGAATGTAGGCGGTCTTAATAAAAGAATTGCTTGTTAGATAGTGGGGAATCACTCTAAGCTTAATATATTTCATCATCTATAGTCACCAATTCCTTGGAAGTTCTTAGTATAGTAAACGTAATTTCAAAGCCATTCTGTGGAGAAAAATGTCTGTGCACCACTGCAGTTCTCTTCCAGTGTGCAATTTCTTTTATTAATTTTCAGCACTTGCGTTAATGCATCTTCTTTGACAGTCAATGGAGAGCATTTCTTGGTGTTGATGGCAGCGCTGCTAGAAACCTGGAACTCGAAACACAGGACTTCATACTTCTTTAAAACAATCCACAGTCTCCCTCACAGTTTACCCAGGAGGCATTAATAATTTTCCTTCTCAGAGCCCTCCATGTGTTTCCCTCCTCTTAGGGTCCCACCTTTTACCTAGATTCTCTGGGCTTGTGGATTGCAGCCTGGTTGTCCTTTGCTTTGCATCTTATATCCACTTATGAATAAGTACATACCGTGTTTGTCTTTCTGTGTTTGGGTTACCTTACTCAAGATTTTTTTTCTAGTTCCATCCATTTGTCTGCGGATTTCAAGATATCATTTTTTTTTTTTAACCGCTGAATAGTACTCCATTGTGTAAATGTACCACATTTTTAAAAATCCATTCTTTGGTAGAGGGGCTTTTAGGTTGTTTCCAAAATCTGGCTATTACAAATAATGCTGCCATGAACATAATTGAGCAAATGTTCTTGCGGTATGATTGTATATCCTGTGAGTATATGCCCAAGAGTGATATTGCTGGGTCTTGAAGTAGATTGAGGGGGGATAAAAGGGAGGGGATGGAGAATGGGAACATGAGGAATCAAGAAGACTGAGTTGGGGTAGAAGCAGAGGGAGAAATGAATGAAAGAGCTATCTTGATACAGTGAGCCATTATGGGGTTAGGGAGAAACCTGGTGCTAGAGAAATTCTCGGTAATCCACAAGGATGACCCCAGCTAAGACTCCAACTATAGTGAAAATGGTCTTTCCCGTTTAATTAGATTAGTCACTACTCTAATTGTCATCATAGAACCTATGTCCAGTAACTGATGGAAACAGATGTAGTGACCCACAGCCAAACATTGGACTGAGCTCCTACAGTTCGGTTGAAGAGAGGGATGAGGGATCATATGAACAAGGGGGATCAAGAGCATGATAAGGAAAACCACAGATACAGCTGACCCAAGCTGGTGGGAGCTCACACACTATGGACTGAGAGCTGGGAAACCTGTGTGGGACTGAACCTATCCCAAGTACATGAACTGGCTTTTTGGAGCCTATACCCTGTGGTGGAATGCCTTGCTTGGTCTTGATATGGGGTTTGTTCCTGCCTCAATTTGATATGCCAGGCTTTGTTGACTCTCCAAGGCAGGCTTTACTCCCTCTGAGGTGGATGCGGGGGGGGGGGGGAGGAAGGTGCGGGAAGAGGAGAAGCAGGCAGGGAGATGGGAGGAAGGGGGAACTGGGGTTGGTATATGATGTGGGAGATCCTTTTGTATGCTGTAAATATCTGTTCTTTTTATTGATTGATGGATAAAGCTATTTTAGCCAATGGACTATAACCAATAGCAGTATGTAGGCAGGTTGGAGGTAAAGGCAGGCTACCAGACTAGGAGAATTCTGGGAAGAGGCTGGGAGAATAGCCCACAAAGAGAGAAAACATGTAGTTGCCAAGGAAGAAAACGATCCGTGCATCACTGGTAAGCCCAGACCACTTGGAGATACATACATGAATAGAGTGGGTTAATAATTAAGAGAGAGCTAGCCAACAAGAATCCTGAA